TCGTAATTTTGTTGTTTAATAATGAGAAAAAAAAAAAAAACTATAACCACTAAAAATGGCACCATAAAAATAAAAATAATAATTAAAAAACCCACAAAGTCAATATTACCCACAAAACATAAGTCCCTATAATTTCTTTCCATTTTGCCTTCTCTTCCAATCACATTTTAAAGAAGTTATTCATGATATTCATAATTAAAATTATCTTAAATAGTCTTCTTCATAATTAAAGTATATTTTTTTTGACATTTGAGAATGCAAAAAAAAAAAAAAACATTATTAAATAATTAAGTTTTTTTTTCTTCTCCTTTTTAATATTTAATTTTCGGGTTTCAATTTTTTAAAAAAATAGTGGAAAAGTATTAGCCAAAAAAGGAAAAAAAAAGAAAGTAATGATTGATTTAAATGGAGAATAAGATGAAGAGAGATGGAAGAGAATATAAAGACATGTCTCAAATTTCATCGTGCAAGAAAAAGACAAAATATATTTTTTAATTTAGTTCTCATTCAATTAAAACGACGTGGCTCAAATCTATCACCAACAGATATTATTTTCTTTGCATTTTTTATTTATGGGTTTTTCTTCAAGAATTTTAAAACGAGTATTGGTGAAGCTTTGTATCCAATTAAAAACAATGTTCTGTCCCCTCTCTAATCAACGTGTGATTTCACTCGTAAAAGAAAAAAAAAACATTTTTTTTTTTCAATTTTGTTGGTTGGTGATAAAAACAATGAAGATGAAGTGTCGTTATCATGGAGCATTATATCTTAGTTCCCATCCCATGCCTTTATGTATGGTGAGGTTTGAAACAAGCGGCTGGGAGAACGACATGTCGTCAAAATCTTCTCATCCTTTTGTCGTCTCGAAAAGCCAACCAATCTTCTATTTTTCTAAAATTATTTCTTTATTCATTGTTTTTCTTGTGGGTCTTATATCTCATATTTTATTATAAGCTATGGACGTAAAAAACATAACCAAAATTAATGTTTCTTCTCAACCTTTAATATCCGATAAATTAATTAATTTACGTATTGTTTCACCATACTCATAATAGTTATTAATATATATTTGAAATATATTCATTAATTATTATTTTTGAAACGTATAATTATTATATATATATATATATATAATATTATATTATTGAGAATTAGTGGAGGAAGATTTTAGTGGGCCTTAGTAATGAGGAGAAAAACGAAAATTTAATTGTATTAGACCAATCATGGGCTTCAACTTGGGCCTCCTTCTCCAATTTGGGACATTATAATTTAATATTAAAATATGAGCCATAATAACAAATTTTTAATTTATTTTAATAATTTTTTTTTTTTTTGTGAACGTGATAAAACTATGGTTTTTTTTTTTTTTTTTTTCATTTCAAATATTAAAAAAAAAAAACAATAATTAAACCTCTTATTTCAAAACGCACTAAATCCCACTTAAAATACAACCCGTTGATTTTGGCAAAACTCTCGTGTCTTTTAGCTTGAGCCAATTGGAATATGCGAATCACATATTAAAATCCAATATATTCTCCCCTAATATATATTCTACATGTATTATTTTATTTTATGAATCTTAAAATTATAATAATAAAAATTTTAAAATATATTCGTCTTTTTACTTATTTTAATAAACATGTTCGGAAAAAACAAACATGTTTCCTCGGAACCATACAGGCAATGGATCAAATAAGAAGGTTATAATTTAAAGAATTGGAGAGTGCCAATGTGATCCATATTATTGAATTCATTAATGCGATGACGTCACGCGAAATAATGTGGTATTTTATAGGTCAAAAGTTATATAATGGTGAAAAAGGAGAGTTCCAATTTAAAATATGATAGTCTTTGGTGATGGTTGTCAATTTGAGAAATTTTAAACTAATTTGGTGTTCGAATATTATAAAGAGAATAATGAATGTGTAATGTATTCATAAATGATTGGTATCGTCCTTATTGGTAATTATACTGATAAAAATTTGTTACATGATAGCAATTTTCTGCTTATAAGCTACGGAAGTCATCGAAGATTATGAAAGCTTTTTATGATAACGAAGGATAAAGTTGGAAAAAGAAATCCATATATATATATATATATTTCGACCGAATCAACGTTACTTTTAATAAACATAAAATAAAATAAAAATTGGATAAAGTATTTGCTTTTCATAAGATTCATACCTAATTCCTTCACCATAGAAAAAAAAAAGCTCTTTATGAGGGATAAGATTATGAATGGAAAAAGCAAATGCAATTAAAATTAAAATTTCATTTTACTCCTTTTGCACAGTCATCACTCACTCAAAAAATGGTTCCTTCTCTTACTTGTCTACGCATTAAAATATTTTAAAATTTAATACGACTTCGAGTCCATTAATTATATTAAAAAAAGTGTACTTTCTTTTTAGTAGCTCAATTATAATTTATTTCAATAAAAAAATTTTGTGAGTAAAAACAAAACACGTTACAAAAAAATAAATTGTGTGATCGTGACACGAAGATGTAGAAAAATTATCGAGTCATCAAGTGTTAAATCCATATTTTAAGATCTGAATCTTGAGAATGAGACGCTAAATCAATGCTTAGTATAAACGGAATATCAAAAGACGATAACGGGCCATATTAAAAAAATTAAAAAGAATATTATTGACATTACAAATTTAACGAATTTTATTAGTTTTATATATCTTCTTATATAGATTTGCAATCAGACAAAAAAACTTTGTCCAAAGTGGCTTTTTATTAATTATAAGAATTATTGTTATGTATAACAATTATAAAAATTATTATTATTTTTGCAAATGGACTAATACCTATTATTTATTATTTATTAAGAGAAGAGGTCGACTAAATAGTACACTTTTCAAAGTCGGTGGATTAAAAATGTAATCTTTTTATTAAAAGCACGCTGTCGTAACATCATTCTCGTTCACTTAAATTAATTTAAGATTAAGTTGTATATCTTCAATCATATTTATTAATTAGTTAAATTTTCGACACAATTTTATAATAAAATAATTTTTTTTTTCTTTCTTCCATTTATTAATTTTATCGAAAGGAAATTGTAGACGGGAAAGTTAAAAATTATTATTTAATGTAATTTGGTTGATGACGTGTAAAACAAATATATTATAGGGCATTGGCAGGCGAATTCTTTATTAAAGTTTATCCGACGTGGAAGACTAGCTCAATAGACATACACTACATTTTGTTTCATCATTTTCCCTTTACAAAATTAAAGAAAAAAAAAATATATTTATTTCCTTTTATGCCTGTTTGAATGGAATGGGCTAAAATAATTGACTGTCGGTTTGACCCATATAGTTTACCGTCGCGTCACTCAATAACTAAATATATTTTAAATATTTAATTTAAAATTTTAGAAAATATGCTAAAATATGACTATTTTGGGATAAAAAAATATTATTCAATTTCATATAGTAATTAACAATAAAGTTTATTTAAAATTTAATAGAATTTGAAATAACTCAAAATTCTACACACATTATGTTTAAATGGTTGAGTGGATAAAATTGTAAAATTATGAATTTGTTAATAAACTTAAATCAAGTGTTATTACAAAATTCATATATTTTTAATAAATTAATAATATTGACTCAAATTATTGGTTCGTACATATTAAATCTGTCAGCAAAACACCTTTTAATAAAATAATTTAATTTCTAATTTTTTTTTCTTCCTTTTCTCTCCCAAACATTAAAATTTGGACGTCTCGTGCAGAGAAATATAAGTGAACTTTTCCACTTTATATTTGCAATAATGTAACTATTAAATAATTATTTATTTCAAGTAAAGATTTTGCAGAACATGGGCCAACCTGGAATACTATTTTTTTTTATTTTTTTATAAATTCTAAAATGCATAATAAATATCTAATATATATATATATATATATAAACATATTTTCGTGTAATTTTTTAAATTCCCAATTTATTTGATTTTAAGTAAAAATTGATTGATGTAATAGCTCGAAGTCCATTGCTAATATATATTGTTATATTGTCTATTTTAATCTGTTATGTTATATATATGTCATTAACTTCGTAATTTTAAAATAAATTTATTAGAGAGAAATTTTGACATTCTTATAAAAAATACTGCGTTCGTTAGCTGTGCGTGCGATGTGAGAAATGAGATGTCAAAATCATTTAGTTTGAATCATATTTTTGGTAACAAATTGAGGTTGCCAAAATATGGTGAATGTTAGGCATTAATCCCTGTTAGGAACTCAAAAAATTAAAATAGAAAGTCACCCAGATGGAAATTAATGCATGATAACGGTCCAATAAGGAAATTATATATATATATATATATAAACTATATCTCAAAATATTATAAATTTATTCTCTAATATTTATTTTAAATGGTCTAATTATATCTATTAACTCTTTAAATTTGTAAGATTTTATTAATTTTATAAATTTATTAAATTAAAAAAATAATACGACAGTTGTGGGATATAAAGAAATAATGGATTAAGATGCTTTTTATATATATATTTTAAAGACGGTAGGCATGTTAATTAATAATAAAGTATGAATTAAATCTGGTGAGTTAGGGTAATATTAGTAATTAATTAACCCAACACGCATAATAAATGTGCTTGTGGGATAGCTACCTGGATTCCATTTCCCTTTCATTCTATAAACCGCTTGTTTTATGTAGCCTCCTTTGTATTTAACCTCCTCCTTTGTATAAACTAATCCTGCTTACATTTTCATTAAAATTTTAAATTAATAGAGATTATATTTTTTTAAATATGATTAATCTATACTTATCCTATTCACATTCACACAATCATACTAAACAAGAGTCGAACTTCCTTGTATTAACTTAATTAAATTCCATTCTGAAAATTTTCGCAAGACAAAACATGTTGGAAGGACCACATAAACCACCACGAAATAATAAAAAAAAAAGAAAAAGAAATTGTACAACATCCACCGGCATCTTCCCTTTATAAAAAGGCAAGTCACAAGCTTTAGGCTTCATTATTTTAAGGTTAGCCATTCTTCCAATGCGCCATCATCAATCCTCTGCACGAAACGCCTTCTGTATTTGAGTAACGTTTTGGTAGCATTATCTGGGTTAATTCTCTTTCTCTTCCTCTAGAACGCTCAAAATTGGTAGCTTGTTACCATAACCACGCAATTCCCGAGAGAATCTTTTTCTGTTTATCCAACTTTAACTCTATTGGCTTGCACTGAAAAACCTGCCCATCGGCGTTACAAACTTTTATGTATTTATGCTTTTTATTTGCAGGGGGTTTCAATAGTGAGAGTCCACGGAGATTATGGCGGCGGCGGCGGCCGGAAACAATGGTGGCGCGTTGCAGAAGAGTTACTTTGATGTGTTGGGGATTTGCTGTTCTTCAGAAATTCCTCTGATTGAGAATATATTGAAGGAAATTGAAGGGATTAAAGAGATTAAAGTGATTGTCGCTACAAGAACTCTCATTGTTCTTCATGATAATCTCCTCGTTTCTCAAGCACAAATTGGTACGCTCAACCTCCATCTCTATCCTACGTGGATTTTTTATTTTATTTTAATATTTCATTTTTTAGTCTAAATTAAACAACATAATTTCATCGTCGTAATATTTATAAAATCACATCACAAAATTTGGGATAAAATTAGTGTTATTTGTTTTGTAAATGAGAATTTTTTAGATGGGGGAGAGGATGGAAGGGGAGTGGAACCCAATTAAATAAAGATGACGTGTAAAATAAATATGGTGGGCCCACCCTCATATATTCTGTTTCAAGTGACTGGTGACGTGGAAATTGTATCTTTTTTAAAGGAGAATAATTTCCTTTTTTCACGTCACTTCCTATTCTCTCATTTTTTTCAACCAAATATTTGGTGAATTAATTTACTTTAATAATATTAATTTTTAAATGGGAAAATAAAAATGTGACAGTTAAAGCCCTAAATCAAGCAAGACTTGAAGCGAACGTTAGAGCATACGGAGACCAGCAGAAAAATCACCGGAAAAAATGGCCCAGCCCTTATGCGGTGGCGAGTGGGCTGTTGCTGCTGGTTTCGTTTCTCAAATATGTGAATCCTGTTTTCAAATGGATGGCTTTGGCTGCCGTCGCCGCCGGTATCTGGCCCATTGCCCTCAAAAGCTTCACCGCCGTTCGCCATCTTAGAATCGACATCAACATTCTTGCTTTAATTGCCGGTAAAACAAAAATTTTATATTATAAATTTAATATCCAATTAATTGATAAATTTTTCGTAGTTTAATATATGAAACGACGGCGTAGCATTGGCCGTGACAGCGTTAGTTGCATGCTTTACCTGCCTTCAACGACGATGCACCCACGTGGCGATTTTATTTTATTTTGTTTATAATAAAAGAATTAACAATAATTATGAAACTTTTAATCTAAATAATAATTAAATTATTGCAGTGATCGGGACAATTGTGCTGAATGATTATTTGGAAGCGGCCACCATCGTCTTCCTCTTCACAATCGCCGAATGGCTCGAATCCAGAGCCGGCCACAAGGTTTCTTTTTTTTTGTTTTTTTTTTCTCTCTGAAATAATGTTCATTGCAAGAACAATCGCAAATCTAAAACTCAACCAAATTATGGAACATCGAAAACTGTGCTTAGGCCAACGCCGTCATGTCGTCCCTTCTAAGCATCGCCCCTCAGAAAGCGGTTCTAGCCGACACGGGCGTAGTTGTCGGCGCCGACGAGGTCAAATTGGGGACTCTGCTGGCGGTGAAGGCTGGTGAGGACATACCCATTGATGGAATCGTTGTGGAGGGAAAATGCGAAGTGGATGAGAAAACCCTTACAGGTGAATCTTTCCCTGTTGCCAAACAGAAGGATTCCACTGTTTGGGCTGGTACCATTAATTTAAACGGTAATCTCTCTCTCTGTTTGATGAATTCTTTTCTGGTTTGGAATGTTAGGGAAGTTTTTGATTGTGGGGTCTTTTCGATTCAGGCTATGTTACTGTAAAAACTACTGCTCTTGCTGAAGATTGTGTGGTGGCTAAAATGGCTAAGCTGGTTGAAGAGGCTCAGAATAGTAAATCTAGAACTCAAAGGTTCATTGACAAATGTGCTAAATTCTATACTCCAGGTATGCCCACCAACTGTTTGAAGAAAGTCCTGTAAAAGCCACGGCTGCTAAAATTCATTTTTCTGATATGCAGCTGTTATAATCATATCAACTGGCATAGCGGTGATTCCATTTGCTTTGAGACTGCACAATCGCAGCCATTGGTTTCACTTGGCACTGGTTGTGCTAGTGAGCGCGTGTCCCTGTGCACTCATCCTTTCGACCCCTGTTGCGTCTTTCTGTGCACTTACCAAGGCAGCAACCTCTGGTCTCTTGATCAAAGGAGGTGACTGCCTCGAAACTCTTGGCAAGATTAAGATCATGGCCTTTGATAAAACTGGGACAATAACAAGAGGGGAATTTATGGTCACTGAATTTCAAGCTCTTGATAAGGAAAATATAAGCTTAGACACATTGCTATACTGGTAAGTGCAAATCATCCTTCTATTTTGTTGAAGGGTTTATGCAGTATAAGGAAGCTAATGATTTTTGTGTCAAACTTTGCCTTCTCCTTTCCCAGGGTGTCGAGCATTGAGAGCAAGTCCAGTCATCCAATGGCAGCTGCACTTGTTGACCATGGAAGATCACTATCCATTAACCCCAAACCTGAAAATGTGGATGACTTTCAAAATTTCCCTGGAGAAGGTGTCCATGGGAGAATTGATGGGAAAGACATCTATATTGGAAATCGAAAAATTGCTACAAGAGCCAATTGTGAAACAGGTTGGATTTTTCATGTAAAAACTAGAGAGTTCTTAAGTTTTCTGTTTCGGTGGAGAGAACAAAAAGCAACCACTTTTTCTTATCATCCTAACTTCTGGATGTAAAAATTTCCAGTCCCAGAGATCAAAGATGAAGCAAAGGATGGAAGGACTGTTGGATACGTTTTCTGTGGGACTACTGCAGCTGGTATCTTTACTCTATCTGATTCTTGTAGAACCGGAGCTAAGGAGGCCATGGCTGAGATCCGATCTCTCGGTATAAAAACAACCATGCTCACCGGAGACAGTTCTGCAGCAGCCTTGCAAGCACAAAAAGAAGTAAGCATTCTATCCCCTGCATTGAATATGCAACATTGATAATGTCACATAATGGGCATGCGGCCATGGGCAACACGCCTTGGACAAGCATGACCGTAACAATTGACATATAGATTTTTCACGTAGCACTGAACAATATAGATCCCTCAAGAACTTTTCTCAGAATCGATCGGTTTGTTTGGTTGTAGGCTTTGGATGCTTTTGGTTCATGATTCTTATGAAGCCATCCTATTTGAGTTATATTGGTTATGTTGGATTATTATTATGCTCAATCCTTTACCAATGGCTAGTTTAAAACCCAAACTATTCAGAACAAGTAATAGTCCTTGTTACCATATATGTAAAAGGCCTACAATTCGTTATTGGAAAAGAGAATATAATGTTTCACTAACCTTATGTGCAGTTGGGAAAGGATTTAGAAACAGTTCATGCAGAACTTCTACCTGAAGACAAGACAAGACTCATCAATGACTTCAAAAGGGAGGGACCAACAGCCATGATTGGAGATGGTTTAAACGACGCCCCTGCCTTGGCGACAGCTGATATTGGTATATCAATGGGAATCTCTGGTTCAGCTCTCGCAATAGAAACTGGAGATGTAATTCTAATGACTAATGACATCAGGAAAATTCCGAAGGCCATTCGACTCGCAAGAAGAGCTAATAGGAAAGTAATCGAAAATGTGATTCTGTCGGTTGCTCCTAGGACTGCTATACTTGGCCTGGCATTTGGGGGCCATCCACTTGTTTGGGCAGCTGTTCTTGCTGATGTTGGTGCCTGTGTGCTAGTTATCCTTAACAGTATGCTCCTGCTGCGAGGAACTGAAGGACACAAAGGGAAAAAGGCTGGCATGTTTTCTGCTTCTCACTGTTCCTCCAAACATAAATGTTGTCATGTTGGTAGCCATTCAGAAGAACATGGTGGTCACACCCATGATCACGGTTGCAGCAATGAAAGTTCCCACTCTTCTAGTCATCATCAACACCACCATCACCATCACCATCACCATGAGCATGAGGACTGCGGCTCTCTCAGGAAAACTCATAATGGTTGCTCAACTCAGAAATGTGCTTCTACGTGTGATTCTGGGATGAAAAATTTGAGCTCATGCAAGAAAAGTAAACTCGTGGACTCATGTTCTAGGGCGGATGATCCTGCTGGCAGTGTAAAACCCTTTGAACATGAGCATTGCGTCCATAACAACCAGCCCGATGAACATGAACATTGCGTCCATAACAACCAGCCCGATGAACATGAACACTGCGTCCATAACAACCAGCCCGATGAACATGAACACTGCGTCCATAACAACCATCCCGATGAACATGAACACTGCGTCCATAACAACCGGCCCGATGAACATGAACATTGCGTCCATAACAACCATCCCGATGAACATGAGCACTGCGTCCATGACAACCAGCCCGATGAACATGAACATCATACCCATTTTTCATGTGATGATCATCATGTCGAGGACGAACATTGCTCTCTGAAGAATACACTAGAGTTTTGCTCGTTTCCGAGATGTGCATCAAATTCATGTGAGAAAATCCAGTGCACAAGCTCACCCGCCAGCCTTGATGGATCTGCAGGCAGTGATGAGCTCCATGAAAGTGGATGTTGTACTCATAATACCCAATCTGCTCAACATGATCATGAAATCCAAACTCTCAAATGTGATTTGGATGACAGCCACTCATCCAGTCCTGATCATCATAATGGTAATGGCTGTTGCTCACAAAAGAACTCTCAGAAGGTTTCTTTATCTCATCCAATGTGTCATTCTGAGACCTGCAATTCAAGTCCTTGTGGGAAAACCAAATGTGTGGATTCAACTGAGAAGCAACACACGCCTGAAGCCAGTCTAGAACTCCTCCAAGACCACAACCATTGCCACCAAGGAAGCTTCGACACTTCGAATTTCGTCTTGGAATCCCAGGAAAACCACGGGAAAAGCTGCAGTGGACCTTGTAAATCAAGACCACTAAGCAGGTGCACAGAGGATGAATGCACGGAAAGGGCTGAAATGATAGTTGATTGTGATGAAGCAAACGAGCACCACAAGATGAAACAACATCATTGCCATACTCATTTGAGTCTTGAAAATGAAGGAGTTCATCCTCATTGCAAGGCATCAAAAGGAGATAACGATGGAGCAATCAACAAAACCACAAATATCAAGCTCGAAGCAGCAGACCATTCGAACCCGAAACACGGCAACACTTGTAAGGCTTTGGAAAACAGAGAGACAAACAACAACTGTAAAACCTGCAGAAGAGGAAGCTCACAACTCAAAATTGGCAAAACTTGTGCAGGCTTGAAGAAGAACAGAGAAATACGTGGGTGTTGTAAGAGCTACATGAGGGAGTGCTGCAGGAAGCATGGTGATATCAGAATGGCAGTCCGAGGAGGCTTAAACGAAATCATCATAGAATAGATCATGTAAGCTAGTTCTTATGTAACTATGCTTTCCCATAATACCATTTGATGAAAATGTCATCACAGAAAGCATCATTACTAGTTATTACTACTGTATGAATATGATGTAATTGTTGATATCCAAGTGCAGGAAATAGTTTGATATCTGTGGATGCATGAGAATCTCTCTGTTTCAGTAATGTTGATGAACAGAGACCATTCGGAATGGCTTCCAATTTGCAGTATAGTGGGAGTGGGAATCATGGGCTTAGACCCATGTTTTTGCAGGTTTTCTTCCCCATGTCATCTCACGAATCTGTTCTCCATGGATAAGATTCGCCACGACTCTGCTCAAAGCTGAATTCTAGCCGATCATCGGCTCCGTACGCCGTTGACAAACTGTCTTTTATTCTTGGAATCTTAGCTGATAAACAATATCTTTAGGTCATAAGAAGTTTGCTTTTTAACCCTATAAATAGTTGCTGCTGATCCATGCATCTTGTAAACATATAGATGAACAGAAGTCCTTAGGGATGGATTATTTGTATCGAGGAATGATGCATGAACAGATAGTGAGTGGAACCTGAGCCAAGAATGACTTGTCGGCCGAATTTTGATACCCATTTTTTCCGTCGGCACTGTCTTCTTCGGCTCTCGCTCCCTCTCGATCTTTCTCATGCTTCATTCTCGATGATCTTCAACAGTTTTGTAGCCTAATCCTAATGATTTTGCTGCTATAGATTCATAAGAAGAGATGGTTTCTCGAGATCGAAGAATAATGCATGAAGAGATGGTGAGTGGAATTTGAGCCAAGAATGACTTGCTGGCCGGCTCTCCGCCAGCACAGTCTTCTTCGGCTCTCGTTCCCTCTCCATCTTTCTCATGCTTCATTTTCGATCATCTTCCACGTCCTTAGCTCAATCTTAATCATTTTTAATGTTGGTGCGTCGATGATTATTGGGAGTGAGGCCACGTTGGTTAATTTAGTAGAAGATCGTGGATTTATAAGTGAAAAATGCTATCTCTATTGGTATTAAGCCTTTCGGGGAAGTTCAAAGCAAAGCCACAAGAGCTTATACTGGAGAGTCGCTCAATAATTCTTGTTCATGTGAGATTCTCTCCTGGGATTCCACCACCCCCTTTCCCTCTCCCTTGGAGTCAAAATATAGCCATACCCCAAGTTGTCGAGAGAATATATTTATTTTTCTCTAACTCCAAAACGTCATGTCGAGTGTTGTTCGATTTTTATCTTATAAACAAATCTCAAAATATAATTTTTGTAACAACTCATGCTCAAAATTCATAATTCAAATTCAGCATTTGATGACCTCAACATTCCCTTACATCCCTGCATCATGTTTACGTGACCTATTATTCGCTTCTTAAGAGTGAAAACTATCTCCATAAAACAACACGAGTCATTTTAACATGTTCTATTCTCACTCACATGTATCCTAAGAAAATTGATAAGAGGACATTGAACACAGAATGACTCTAAGTTAAACACATTTAACCATAAAGTTTCTATGATAGAGCCATCGAAATTGAATGAGCACCTTATTGATATATGCAACGACTTCCAATTCTTTTAAGTCTTTCTTAGTCGTCTTATCTTCAAGATCGCTCTCATTCAAATATGTTCTCGATTCTTTACTCACCAATATTATGAGATTTTCCCCGGGCTTCCCATCCTCTCCCCTCTCCCTTGGAATCAAAATATAGGCATACACCAAGTTGTCAATAAATGGTTGTGCTTATTATTCTCTTATCCAAATAGAATTCTCAACCATTTGGTTCCACCACTTATCATCAGAAATAAATTAGACTTAACTAATCCGGTGTATTTTAAAGTGAAATAAGGTAATTTCACTAATAGGAGCACAAATTAACTTAATTAATCAGGTGTATTTTTTTTTAATTTTATTATTATTATATTGTAAGTTGCAAAGCTAATTATGCTTTTGGAGTTCGTTGAAATTAAAAACTTTGGGACATATTGATATTACACCAAATTAGAAGGCTTAATATGCAAAATCTCTCAACGTCAATTGAAATAGTACAACTCAAAACAACTCCTCCCGCCCCCGCCATACTCGTCCGACGTCTCAGTGCTCGTGGTTTCTTCGATGGCAGATTTTAAGCCCTTTCTAGGGTTCCGGTTCTCTATTTTCTTCTGGATTCTCATTTCAACCTCCATTGCTGCTGATCAACCGCTTGAAGAACTCAACGCCTTACATTTCCCGCCGGAGCTTCAGCTGCTGAAGTCTAAGATCTCGTTTCTCGGTCAGTTTTGCGTCATTGCTTCCTCTTCCTCTTCATAATTCTACTGTGCCTGTTTTTTTTTTCTTTTCTAGGAAGTGTGGAAGAAGAAGAGGAAACTCTTTTGGTTGAGTTTCAAAATTCAGCAAACTGTTCATTGTGCTATACGCTTTTTTTTTTTTACCTCCCGGGAGGATTTTCGTTTACGGTTGATTATTGAACTTGGAATGTATCTGACCTTTAGATGTTAGAGAAACATTATGTTTACATTCTGTTCTGTTCAATTCCGTGAAGTGAGTTCCATTTATCTGATTTTCGCTGTTCTTTATTCTTGTGTTGTCTTGTGAAGAATCAACTCATTCAAGAGCAATCAGGCAAGGTTGTGATGTTGGAGAGGGACATTGCATTTCTTCGGGTGAGGCCTCTTCAAACACATATTTTTGAAAATGAACTCTCATTTGTGCTTGATCATTACACATGATACAGCACCTCATGACTTTCTTTTCAGCACTCACTAGTTTTCTTTATTTGGACGTTGTGGTGTCTAATGAATTTGTGTTTTGTGGCATCTGAGAATTTGACTTTTGACAAATCAATTCCTCTTGATAGCAAAATAGATTTACTGTTAACAAGGAGCATTCGAGTAAGGAATATACACTTCCACGAGCTGATGAACTTGAGGGGCAGGTTTTAGCATCTGAGCTGTTTCCTTCTGCGTTCTTCCATTATCTGATAATATTGTCCCTAAGTTAGTAGACTTCAAAAAGCCAACATGAACCTACTTCAAAGCTTAAGCATCTACTCCGTCCCTTAAGGTTGGAAGTTCAAGTCCCCACCCCCAATTTTTGTAGTCAAGGTTGCTAAAGTTAAGGTAACGAAGAGCAAAATCAGCAAATACATATATATACTTTGGAATTCCACCGACGAGGGAGCACCATTGTTGGTAGTTATCATCCGTTCAGTGCTTTGGCTTTAACAATTAACGTTCAATAAATGTAGACGCCTTTTCATGTCGAAGAGACCGAGTTCCAATGACATTGGAAAATTTGGAGTTATTTATTCCTCTCATAGGTTAAGATTTCCTAAATTACATACATCATGTGTCTCCCAATAATAAGCAATCCACAATACAAAATTTTGCTGCACTCAAGTTACAAATGATAAAACCGAACAACGCTAGTCCAAGTGCTTCTAGATATGCAGGTTTGAGTTAAGGTTATTGACCCACTCGAGTGGTGAAGTGGACTTCCATTCTTAACTGGTCGAATGATTTGAAGTTCCTGTCATATTTAATGTTGACTACTCATTGCTTCAAATGAGCACTCCAAATTCATCTAACCTTCTGATCTTAAGTTAATTCCAAATGTATTATCATCTTTGGACTTTCTATCCTGAGTTGCAGCTAACATTTTACATCAGGGGTTGTTGCTAGATCTCTTATTTTGACTGCTATGATAACATTGCATATACATTGACTAACAATTAGGTTTAAATTGCTGTGTTTATGAAACAAATCCTACACTAAAGGGATATGTTCATTTACTAATCCTGTTGGGCTTGTATCGTTTACTGTAATTAATTACAGTTGAAAATTATTCCCAAGTTATTCTGAGAACAACTCAATCAAGAGTAGCTTGAAAAAGTGTAATCCAATATGTTTTCTCTATTAAAAAAAAAAAAAAAAAACTATTTGAAAAATATTAAGAACTATTTTTCTTCTATCTCATTCGTACACACACCGAATTTAATTTTTTTGACCCATCTCTTTTTTGCAGTCACTTTGGTATGAAAGTGGAGGAGCGGTGGCAAATAAAGCATATCAAAAGGTTTGTTTCTCTCATGTTTTAAATCACTTGCACCATTTTGATCGATAATCTTAAGTTGAAACCTCTTGTTTCCTGTTAGTTCGATTAGATAACAGTATTTTCAATTCAATTATTGAGGGCCCAAAAACGTGATTGGAGCACTGGGAGTGCAAAAGGCACGACCAATTAACCGACATCTTTACTAAACTTTTGCTCATGTTTTGTTGTTTCTTAAACTTTAGTTTGACCAAGTAATGATTTTTTTTTTTTTTTTCATGGAGTTAAAACTTCAAGTAGGGTGGGAAAGTCTAAGTTCTAAAACAAAGGGGTCGATGATCTGAATTTTAGAGCTAATTAACCTGTTAACTGTGGAGGGAGAATTTAACTTTTTAGGATAAATTTCGTTTGGAGTTGGATGTGTTAATCTTAGTTTTAGTTTAATTTAAGTGCATTAATTTTCTTCTTTGATTAAGGTTGATTGTATATTCTTGCTGTTGGAAGAACTAACCAAAAAAGTAAAGGATATAATTTTAGTTCTTCAAAGAAAAAAAAAAAAGGAAAAAAAAAACACCATCCATCATAGAGTGGGTTGCTCGAAAACCTGTTCATAATAAAAAGCTTTTTAGAGTAGGGAAATCTCTATCCTAGAAAAAGCTATATTAAATCACAGCAATATAATTTGTTTTTTTGAAAAAAAAAGGTTTCCATATTTTTTTCTGTATATTTGCAAGGCACAAATCAGTTCTTACCATGCATAAAATAAATAACAACTACTCAAACATTAACATATAGAAGATAAAAACAAAATAAAAACATAATAATAAAAAGTTTTAAGATTTTTTTTTTTGTGTGTATATATTAAAGTTAAGAACCAAATAGATGTAAATCGACAGGTTGTTGTACTATCTTAAGATTTTGTAGATCAAATTTAGATAGATGTAAATCGACAGGTTGTTGTACCATCTTAAGATTTTATAGATCAAATTTAAATAATTGAATCCATCAAATGATTGACTTCTATTATAAATAAAATTTATTGTATTAAAATTTATAATTAATTCCACCTACTCTATTTTAATGTTTGTAAATATTTGAATTATGATCATAATTTAATCAACTCAGATTTTCTATTTAAATGATTTAGTTGTTAAATTATTTTTATGATTGATGATTTCATTATTTTCCATTTGAATAAATAACGCGCTGAGTGTGGGCCTAATTTT